TGCGTGGGCGCCAAATCCACATCGGGAAACATACTCTCGAAACATGAGGCCAACGCTGCCTGATCCGGCGACGCATCTCGCCAAGCATGTACAGGGACCTGTCGCTGACTCACCCGTCCTGAGGCGGGTCGTGTAGCTATGGGCGTGCCAGCGCCCATCAACATTTTGCCATCTTAATCCACCTCCCCTGCACTGCACCGCACATCCCCATCGAGTCCTCGCAGATCCTCACGACCTGGGGCTGGGGCTCGGGTCTCGCCTCAGGCTGACTACCTACCAGACCACCCCAACCCAACCCGAAGACCCGAATTTCGGGTTGGGGGGGGTAAGGGTTCCACGCGTATTTTTTCGATGTTCCCCGACCCCCCCCCACTGGAAATCGACGGTAAATTTGAGCCTTCGGGTTGGGTTGGGGTGGTTTGGTGGGTGGTGACAGGCTGGCCGCCTGAAATTTAGTGCTGGGCATCGTCGCGTGTGCCGCGCCTGCGCGCGGACAAGACGCGATCGGTGCGCCCCGTGCCCGCAGGAGGCCCCGACCACCCCCCCCGCGCACGACACCGTGTCCTCCGCCCTCCCTTCTCGAGCGCACGCTAGCACGGATTAGGGTCGTGTGGATCCGGTGCGCGGTCGCCAGACCCTGGGAAAATATCCCAAGAAATGGCGCCAATGCCGCGCCGAATGGCCGAGAAATGATGGGCTTGTTTTCCACCACCACCACCATAAGTTGGGGGGGGAGAGGGTCCTCCTCATCCTCCTCGTCCTCCTCCTCGTCCTCCTCCTCGTCCTCCTCCTCCTGCCCCCCTGCAACTGATGGTGGTGGTGGTGGAAAACAGGCCCATCAAGAAATCTGGTGGCGGAGCGTGCCGATTCACGGGATCGCTGATCCACGCGCCGTGGTCCCGTGCCCGACCGGGGGCAGCCAGAGGTGGTCGGACCCGGCCCCGAGGTGGACGTCGTGTCGATCTTGGTCGGCGTCTCACTTCGCGCATCGTCATCCCCGCGAGTGGGCGGCGGCCGACATGGACCGAGACCGAGGTCGGCGTCCGCAAAATCCCACAGCATTTCGGTCATGGCCCCGCGCTTCCTCCCATGACGAAGGGCGCCTCGCCGATCCGAGCCTCGAGGGGGCGCCGTGCGGGGCGCCGTGCGGCCGCCGCTCTCGCCGAGCTGACGGCCCGGACTCGCCGGGAGCTCCCGGGCGCGCGGGAGTTGGACGAGGGAGAAGGAGGAGGGAGGACGAGCGTGGAGGACGAGAGGGAGGAGGAGGAGGAGGAGGAGGAGGAGGAGGAGGAGGAGGAGGAGAAGGGATGAGGAGAGGAGGAGGAGGATGAGGATGATGATGATGTTGTTGTTGATGATGATGATGATGATGAGGAGGAGGAGGAGGAGGAGGAGGAGGAGGAGAAGACGGAGGCGGAGGCGGAGGAGCAGGGGGAGGAGGAGGACGAGGAGGACGAGGACGAAGACTCGCGCGCCGTGATCCGCGGGCGGTGGCAGAGCACACCCGCGCCAGCTGGAGCTGGAGGAGTCGGAGGAGGAGGAGAAGGACGAGGGGGGATGACGACGGGAATGAGAAGGGGAGGCGAGTGGGAGGAGGGAGAAGGAGAAGGGAGGTAGGGATGGAGGGAGGATAGGATCTCGCATCTCCAGTAGTGCGCATGGACTCGGACCACATGGCGCAGTCGCTCGCGGAGAGGGGGGTGGAGGAAGGACGGGGGAGGAGAAGGGCAATCGAGGATCTGGAACTGGAGAAAGAATTCAGTTGCGATGAGCGGAAGGAGGCGGGGGAATATGGTGACAGGAGGAGGGAGGAGGGGAGGGGAATCAGGAATCAGGAACCGGCCTGGGTCCCAAGACCTGGGGCCAGGAAGGCAAACAGGTGAAACGAGCATCGACAACACGCAGCAAGAACTCGCTCTGCGCAGCGCCAGCCGCGTCGCGGCCTCAGCGTCTTTGCCTCTGCCCTTGATGCTGGATTCAATCACCCACGGGTTGGCGCCGCCAGCCCGCGAAGCACTGCCGGCCAGAAAGACCGCGGTCAGCAGGACTACGGCCAGCAGCTAGGAGGGTCGCGGGCCACGCGCAACAGAAGAAAAACACGGCTGGCAGCAGGGGGTCAATGACCAGGAGAGTCGGCAGCAGAGGATGCACGACTCATGGTCAGCAGCTAGCTGTGCCCTGCGGCCAGCGTCTGCATGATACCAAGGAGTTGCGAGGAGGTGGCGAGTACTGGGTGTCCTTCTCACTCTCCGTGCCATCGATCTTCTTTCTGCCCTTGCCAGGCCCGGGGAAATCGGCCTCGGCAGCAGGGGCACCTCCATGGTAAGGCCTCGGCAGCAGCGGACGGCCGAAACGCCGGGAGACCCTCAAAGCAGTGCCGGCCAGCTCAGCAAGCACACAACGATATCGGTCAGGAGGCCGTGACCATGTTGCTGTTGAACTCATGGATCTCAGAGGGCCGCCGTAAAGGCCGCACCGAGGAAAGTGGGGCGGCAGCCCCAGAGTCCAAGGCCCCGACGGCTGGCAGAAAGGAATGCGCAGCCCGAACCCGCGCGGCCTGCGCGCCGCGGTCGGCAGCAGACAGCCGCGGGCGGCAATCGACGGATTATGGCGAATGAGGAGGAGGAGGAGAGGACAGAGAAGCAGTGTCGTAGAGTAGGTGGAGGAGAAGCACGAGACTGCCTCCTGCGCCCCTTCCTTCCCCTCCTCCTCTCGATCACCCCCTCTCGCTCCTCCCTCCCTCCTCCTCCCTCCTCCCTCTCCTCCTCCCTCTCCTCCTCCCTCTGCTCCTCCCTCCTCCCTCCTCCCTCGTCCCTTCTCCTCCTCGCTCCTCGCTCCTCCCCTCCTCCTCCTCCCTCCTCCTCCTCCTCCCTCTCCTCCTCCCTCTCCTCCTCCCCTCTCCTCCTCCCTCCTCCCTGCTCCTCCTCCTCCTCCTCCTCCCTCCTCCCTCTCCTCCTCCCTCTGCTCCTTCCTCCTCCCTCCTCCCTCTTCCCGTCCCCTTCTCCTCCTTGCTCCTCGCTCCTCGCTCCTCGCCTCTCCCCCTCCTCCCTCCTCCCCCCCTCCTCCTCCTCCCTCCTCCCTTCTTCTCCTCGCTCCTCGCTCCTCCCTCTCCCCTCCCCCTCCCCCCCCCTCCTCCCTCCCCTCCTCCTCCTCATCCGTCCTCTGTCCTCCATCCTCCCCTCCTCCCTCCTCCGTCCTCCCTTCTCCTCCTCCTCCTCCTCCTCCTCCTCCTCCTCCTCCTCCTCTGATTCGTCTTAGTATTCTTGGTATTCGTCTTCTTATTATTTATGTTGTTATTATTCGTATTATTCTTATTCTGATTAGTATTATTATGTTTATTCGTATTCGTCGTCTTCTTCATATTACCAGTAGTATTATTATAATGAGTCGCATTATTCGTGTTACGAGTATGGGTATTATTATCTGTAACATTATCATTATCCTTCTCTTTCTCCTTCCTCCTCCTCCTCCTCCTCCTCCTCCTCCTCCTCCTCCTCCTCCTCCTCCTCCTCTGTCTCCTCCTCATCCTCCAACTGCTCCTCCTCCACCTCCTCCTCCTCCTCCGCCTCCGCCTCCGCCTCCGCCTCCGCCTCCGCCTCCGCCTCCGCCTCCGCCTCCGCCTCCCGCCTCCGCCTCCGCCTCCGCCTCCGCCTCCGCCTCCGCCTCCGCCTCCGCCTCCGCCTCCGCCTCCGCCTCCGCCTCCGCCTCCGCCTCCACCCGCCTCCGCTCCGCCTCCGCCTCCGCCGCCTCCGCCTCCGCCGCCTCCGCCTCCGCCTCCGCCTCCGCTTCCGCCTCCGCCTCCGCCTCCGCCTCCGCCTCCGCCTCCGCCTCCGCTCCGCCTCCGCCTCCTCCTCCTCCCTCCTCCTCCTCCTCCTCCTCCGCCGCCTCCTCCCCCTCCTCCGCCTTCTCCGCCTCCTCCCCCTCCTCCTCCTCCTCCCTCCTCACTCCCCTCCTCCTCCTCCTCCTCCTCCTCGTCCTCCTCCTCCTCCTCGTCCTCCCACCCCCCTCCTCCTTCTCCTCCTCCTCCTCCCCCCCTCTCCCTTCCTTCCTCCTCTTCCCTCCTCCCTCCTCCTCATCCCTCCTCCTTTCTCCGTCCTCACGCCTCCCTCCTCCCTTCCTCCCATCCTCCCCTCCTCGCTCCTACCCTCCCTCCCCCCTCCACCCCCTCCTCCTCCTCCTCCTCCTCCTCCTCCTCCTCTCCTCCTCTTCCTCCTCCTCCTCCTTCTCTTGCTCCTCCTCCTCCTCCTTTTTCTCCTCTCCTCCCCCCTCCTCCCCCGCCTTCTCCACTTCCTCCTCCTCCTCCTGCTCCTCGCCTCGTCCTCCTGCTCCTCCGCCTCCCTCCTCCACCTCCTCCTCCTCCTCCTCCTCTTCCTCCTCCTCCTCCTTTCTCCTCCTCTTTCTCTTTCTCCTCCTCCTCCTTCTCCTCATCCTCCTCCTCCTGCTGCTTCGCCTTGTCCTCCTCCGCTTTCTCTTTCTCCTCCTCCTCCTCCTTCTCCTCCGCCTCCGCCTCCTCCTCCTCCTCCTCCTCCTCCTCCTCAACCTCCTCCTCCGCCAACCCCTCATCCTCTCTTGTTCTCTTGGCTCATCCGATCCTCATAAGAGGCGTAAGTAGGCGGTCCCTCCTCCTCCTCCTCCTCCTCCTCCTCCTCCTCCTCCTCACTCCTCCTCACTTCTCCTCGGCAGCCACGGCCCTTTTTCAGAGCACGCGATCGGTCTAACTAGCAGTGCGCGGGGACCAGGACTTCGGGGGGCGCCAGCGCTCCGTCCACGGCGATCCCGTCCCGGCCAACCCTGGGCCCTGGATTCGCTGGATGCGCATGCACGAGTCCTCCGGCCAAGGTTGGCATGGCCACGATCAGTGCGGCAGCCTCGAACCAGGAAGCCGGATTGGTACGAAGCCAGCTGGCTGCAAAGGGTCACAGATGTGGAATCGAACCAGATCGTCCCCGCTACGACATACAACAGCGTTATGCAAACATCGGCGGTCTGATCGTCAGGGCATCGGAACCGAATCGGATCATCCCGGCCAGACTCGGATATCGAATCGCACCGATCGGATCGAAGTGGAACCCTGGCTGGCCAGGATCAGCGCAGGTGGCTACAGTCGCCCTTGGCTGCAGCGCCGCAGCGCTTCACTGTCGAAGCTGCATCCTTGCCTGCAAGAGCCATCCTTATCTGCGCGGCCCCTGCTTGCCCGTTATGCCCAGGCGTCTTGCACCCCGCATGCCCTGCATCACTACTTTTACTCACGGTCGACTGCAATTACCTACGGACGGTTCCTAAAGTGTTGACGAGGAAGTCCGTGCCTGGCTCCGCGTAGATCGTCTCATAGGCAACGTTCAACGATATCCGAGGTCCGACAGCGAAGATCAGTCAAGGTTAGCCTGGTTCGGGCAGCCAGTTGCCTCCACACTCTAAGGCCTGCGCCAGCGACGTGGCCGTGCCGACGACGGCGTGAACCCGCCAGAGGTTTCCGGAATCTCGAGAAGAGGCCTCTGGCGGTCGTTCAATGCCTTCGGGTGCCAGCAATCATGTTGCATTTTCGGGGGACCTCGTCTGTCCCTTCGCGTCGCAATTACCGTCGAATCCGCATCGAATCCACGTCGAATGCGCGAATCTACATCAAGCCAGCGTCGAATCAAAATCGAATACTGTGAAATCCGCGATTATGCCGCGGAGGATGCAACCAAAGATCTCAACTTGTTGGACAGATGCCAGTACAACTCCAAATGGCAGCCACAAGAACAAACATGAACACGTTCGGCGGCATCGAACCTCGGTCGGCGCAGCCTGCGTCCCCCGACGGATCAAACGGAATAGAAGTAGCACATCAGCAATGAGGGGCAACGATAGGGGGGGATTGGCATAGGGGGGGGAAACATCGACCTGGAATCGGCGACAAGCACATCGCCAATAGATCGGTGATGGGCCTCCGATAGTGAATCCGCACAGCCCTGGGCAGGTTTGGACATCGGGCACCTATCGGTGATCACATCCCCCCCGTGTCCACCCCCCCACACTCGTTGCTCCTAGAGCAAGGAGTTGGGGGGGAGCCTCGGCGCAAAAAGCGCGACCGCGCACACCGCTGCTCAAGAGCCTCGTCTCTTCGTGGCCCGCGGCATCCGCGGCAGAGGGCGTGCCGCACGGGCCCTCAGTGGCATGATGCTCGGAGGTGCGCCAGCTGAGACGCTGACGGCGCCCACCGAGCGGTGGGGAGGAGAGGGGCGATGGCGAGGGGAGCGGGGAGGACATTCCTACATGTTCACACACACACATCTATATGTATATATCTATATATATATTTATGAATGATTTTTCAACCAAAAACAAAACACCAAAAAAAAACGTTGTCGAAAACCACTGCTCCGCAAACGTCAAGCGTAAAACTGCGTGCGTCGAGTGAGCAGGGCTGAGAGGACCAAGGCACATGTGCAAGACCTGCATCCGCCCGATGAGCCGAGGCAAAGAGGGAGGACGAGGGGGGGGGGGGCGAAAGGGAACTGGTCAGCCTTCGACCCAGCGGCGGTATGCCGGTATGCGGCCTGATGGCCGACTGCGGCCTGACCGGCCGACCTACCCCCGCGAGCATATAACGCTCCGAGCCCCATCGCGAGGCGGGCTCCCAGGGACAGCTGGCTGTCCTGGGCCCCTTCTCCTCCTCCTCCTCCTCCTCCTCCTCCTCCTCCTCCTCCTCCTCCCTCCTTCGCCCCCTACCCCTCCTCCTCCTCCTCCCCTCCTCCTCCTCCTCCTCCTCCTCCTCCTCCTCCTCCTCCTCCTCCTCCTCCTCCTCCTCCTCCTCCTCCTCCTCCTCCACTCCTCCTCCTCGTCCTCCGCCTGGTTCCTCCCTCCTACGTCTCATCGTCCTACTCCCCGTCCCCCATCATTATCATCCCTCTGTTCTTTCTCCTCCTTCATATATTCTTATATTGCCGTCATCAGTTCTCCCCCCCGGGTCCTCGTCCCCGGCAGAAAGACGCTTCCGCCGACGACCTCACCGTGCAGATGGTGAACGCCCGCGCGAAGGTCGCACGCGTGGCTGTGGATATGATGGGCATGATTGTGGCCACCTTGAGGCTGCGGTGATGGCCGCCAAAACCGTCGCCCTGATAATCGTAGAATACAGGTTTTCAATGGTCACCACACAGATGAGGTCGCAGGCTGCAGGTGGACGCGCTGTGAAAACTCGAGGGGTGGTGAAACGGGTCCAGACGAACAGTAACAAGAGGCACGCGTGCCAAGGATCATACAATCACGGACGCGGGGCAATGGGATATGGAGATGGCGCCAACCTGTGGTAGTTTCGCGGAAGCGCGCGAGTGCTGCGACACCCTGGCGAGTGACCATTACGGGGAAGCGACAAATAGCAGCATGGCTGTGTGGACGCAGCACCAGATTCGATCTGAAGGCAATCTTAGCATGACGGCAGAGGTTTACGAGGCTTGAACGGCGTGATTGCTAATGCACGCCCCTTGAATGGAGCGAAACGATTGGTCCCAAGAGGGTGGGCGCGATGGTATGCATAGCCAAGATCTGCCACCGTATCTTCAGCACGTTGTGGAGTGCCCCAAGGCTCATGCAGCCTTGAGGGGCAAGGGGGCTGTAAGGTTCTTAAAGGGCCCGGACCCTTGGTTTCCCAGGCGCTCTTGCGCGCTCCCGCGCGAGCCCGGGGTGCGTGTCGCGCTGGCTCTTGGGACGCCACGAAGGCCCGAAGACGGGCCAAGAGGGCCTTGAAAGACTCCCAAGACGGTGGGACAAAAACCCGAGTCGTCGAACGATCGGTCCAAGATGCCCCAAGAGGCCTTCAAGAAACCTTCCAAGGCACGGGGGCAACGGTCGGGCGGGGGGGGGGGGGAGCACGGTTGAACGGTCGGCATCAGCAAAGGGGGTGGGGGGCACGGTCGCTCGGCCGGAATGAGCAGAGGGGGAGCCACGGGGGGAAACGGAGGGGAGCACGGGGGGCCACAATCGGGCCGGGCGAGGGGGGGGGGGGGGGGGCACGGCCGGGCTCGGGGTCGGAAAAAGCAGACGGGGTGGGCACGGGGGCAAGGTCTGAGCACATGGGGGGGCACGGTCGGTCCCGTCGGAATGTGCAGGTGGGCGGGGGCCGCAGGGAGGGGGGGGGGAGCACGGGGAGCCACGGTCGGGCAGGGGGGGGGGCGCGGTCGGTCGGCCGGACAGGGCAGGAAGGGGGGGCACGGTCGGGCAGAGGGGGGGCACGGAGGGCCACGGTCGGGCAGGGGGGGCACGGTCGGTCGGTCGGTCGGAATAGAAGGAGGGCAGGGGGCACGGGGGGGAGGGGAAGGGGAATCAGCACAAGGAGTCACGTTCGAACAGGTGGGGGAGGGCACGGTCGGTCGGTCGGTCGGAATAAGCACAGGGAAGGGGCGCGGAGAAAAGGCGGGGGCAAGGAGCAACGGTCGGGCAGATGGGGGGGGGCACGGTCGGTCGGTCAGAATAAGCAGAGGGGGGGCACGAGGAGAAGGGTGGCAGGCACCAAGTGCCACGATCCGGCCGCAGGGGGAGGCACGGCTGGTCGGCTGGATTGAGCAGACTGCGTGGGGAAGGGCGGGGGCACGGGGCCACGGTCCAGCAGAGGAGGGCACAGTCGGTCGGTCGGGAAAAGCAAAGGGGGGGGGGGGCATGGAGGGGATGGGGGTGGGCACGGGGGGCCACGGTCGGGCAGGGGGGGTAGGGCATGGTCGGTCTGTCGGAATAAGCAGAGAGGGTGGCACGGAGGAGGGGGGGGGGGGGAACACGCGGGTGGCCACGGTCGGGCAAGGGGGGTGGGGTCACGGTCGGTCGGTCGGAATAGGCAGAGAGGGGGCCACGGGAGAAAGGGGGCACGGTCGGTCGGTCGGAATCGGAAGAAGAGGGGCCACGGGGGGAAGGGGGGGGGGGGCACGGGGGGGGCACGGACGGGCAATGGAGGGGAGGAGGGCACGTACGGACGGTCGGAGTAAGCAGAGGGGGGGCCACGGGAGGAAGGGGCTGGGGGGCACGAAGACGGAAGACCCACGGTCGGGCAGAGGGGGGGGCACGGTCGGTCGGCCGGAATAAGCAGAGAGGGGAGGAGGGGGCACGGGGGGAAGGGTGGGAGGTGCACGAGAGGCCATTGTCGGGCGCGGGCGGGGGGAGGGGGGGGGGCACGGTCGGCTGATCGGACAAAAAAAACAGGCGGGGGCACGGGGGACAGGGGGGAGCCCAGCACACATCTTGGCACACCTCCACACATCCCAGCACCCCCAGCGCACATCCGAGTACGTCCACATTCCTCAGCACACCGATCCCAGCACACCGAGGCAGTACACGGACACATCCCAGCACCGAGAACACCGAGGCAATATCCCAGCACCAAGCACAACGAGGCAGCACACCGACACATCCCATCACGCAGCCTGACCCAGCACATCGAAGTAGTCACACATCCCAGCACGCGGAACCCAGCGCACATCCCAGGCACGGTCGGTCGGTCGAAATAATGCAGTGCGAGATTACATCGGTCGGTATGATACTGCTCGGCTGTGGCTTTGAAATCGCCTGCTCGGCCTGGACGTGCGTAATCGGGTTTATACCCCCACGATCGCCCCTGGCATGACCGCAAAGCGCAAGGCGTGCAGGTCACGGGCGCTCAATCCTTGCTGGTCCAACACCCCAGTCGCCTGCTAGAACCTAGACTGCCCGAATTCATGTCGGACACGGGTCCGGTCTACACGTGCCTCGAGCAGTGCCCCCTTGGATGTCTGGCTCGACGCAGGGCAGATCCAGACCATGGAAATTCCCCAAGACAGAAGCACCATGGAGCGTTGCGGCTGGTCCTGCTGGGGCTCTGGCCATTGAAACGCATCGTCAGCAGTGCTGTGCCACCCAGGCTTGGATCCGGAAGACGCGTGCGGGCACCGATCTCGACCCGAGGGAAGTCGGGCCGTCCTGGGAGAGAAGCCTGGCTCGTCAAAACTTCGAGCACGTCGAGCGGTCGCAGCGCGAGGGACAGGCGCCGGAGGATCCCGAGCGGCGTGGGCCGGGCGCGCGAATGCTGAAGGGGGTCTGGTCCGCACGCCCCTCGCTCGCGCCCCGGAACGCGCCTTTGTGGATGCTGCCGCCATCCGCCACGGCGGCCCTGAAGACTGCGATGATCGGGGGTCACTGGTCTCAGTACTCCAGATTTCGTAATAAAGGGAGGGGGGTCTCATTTCGGGGGGGTCTCTTCCAAGCTATCTTGGAGGGCCTGGGGGGGGTCTGGGGACGATGTTTTGGAGGGTTCTCCCACGGGGGGGGGGTCTGAAATGGCTTGTCTTGGAGGGTCCAGACCCCCTCCCTTTTATTACGAAGTCTGGAGTACCGCTTGTTTCAGTATCACCCTGCCAGCACTGACTGCCGCAAGTCGGATGAGCGGCGACGCGTGTGGCACTTTGCGATATGGTTCCGACGTCGTTCTCAGTGCCCTGAGGCGCGATCCGAAGCCGTGGACGCTGCTCCTGGAGCGGGCGAAGCCAGCTCAAGATCAGCCTTTCGTTCAGAGATGTTTGCTTCCCAAGGCTTGGCTTTCCAACCTTGTTTGAGCGCAAGGGGTATGTGTTGTAGGTGAAGGTGGAGCGTACAACGATGAATCAGGGCAGCAGCTTCATTGCTGGTATGAATCCAAGCGTTCAGGATGGGCCCTGGCCAGCAGGCGTCGCTATGTGCTTGTCGGTCAAACCAAGCGTTCGGCTCCCTCCCAGGACGACAGAAGGAGCACGTTTTTACGATTCGTGATAATGGCCGTTACCAAGGATGCTACCCCCCTCTCCTCTCAACCTGGTAACGTCACGATTGGCGCCGGCGCGAGTTGGGAATTGCTATGGGCAGCTAATTCCTGGACGGCGCCGGCGCGAATCGCGACGTTACTAGCCCCCTCGCCCCCCACTCCCGGTAACGGCCGTTGTCGGCATGCGGTGAAAATGCGGACCCCAGTCAGAGTGTGCCCAGAGCTGAAATCTTCGCAACTTGGTGCCGCGCTGTGTATGAAGACGGACCGCCTGCCTGCGGGGAGGGGCCTCGTGAAAGGCAATGCCTGGTGCTTCGCCCCCACTCGGGACACCTCGACTCGTGAACACTGACCTGGCGAGCAATCGACGGCCGCGGGCGGGGGCAGGGGAGAAATCAGGGCACCCTGACTACTTCTCTGGTGCAAGGTCGTCACGTCGACATGACCCTCGATGAAGTTAAAACGATGATGCGGACTAGGCCGCGAAGCGCGGCCTGGCTGTGCATGCGTCGTCGGACGCCCCAGTCCTAGCCCATAGCCAGGCATTTCTCCTCTTCCTCCAGAGCGAAATTGTGTGTGTGCTGCCCCGCAGGTCACCCTACGACCTCGGCGCCCTCGGCCTCTCCATCGTTGCCTCGTCTCCTCCAGCCCGCGCTGGGCCCTGCTCCGCCCTCGGGCTCCGCCTCGCGCTCCGCCCCCCATGCCGACGCCTCGCCTCGAGGTGGTCCTGCGCCCGCCGTTCCCGGGTTGACTCAGGCGTGACCTCGGCGTCCGCGGCGTGCACTTCGCGCTCTACTTCGGCACCTGCCCACTCTGGGCGCTGCTCCCCCCAGGGCACCTCCGCCGGCTGCCCGGCCTGCCTTCCCCCCCCAGCTGCCGCCGCGCTGCCGCTGGGCCCCCCCCTGGCGCCGCCCCCTGCCGCCGCCTGGCCCCGCTGTGAGCGGGCCTGGTCTCCACCTCCTCCCCGCCGTCGCCGGGCGCCTCCCCTCCTCCCCTCGTGCATTGCGGCATAATTCGCATATGTTCGTCCTTTTGCCCTTCCGCCAGCGCAGACACTCTGCCTAGCCTAGCCACCGACGCAAAAGGTGTGTGTGTGTGTGTGTATGTGTGTGTATGTGTGTGTATGTGTGCGTGTGTGCGTGTGTGTGTGTGTGTGCGTGTGTGTGTGTGTGTGTGTGTGTGTGTGTGTCCGATGGCGGATGGCATTGCCAAGGCGGCGACCTGGGGGGCGCAGGGCCGCCAGGGCAGCTGACCCGGCTGGGCCGGGGCGCACGCCCCGCTGAGCCGGGGCGCAGGCGGCGAGGGCTGGCCGCTGGCCACGCCCGCGCGCTCGGTCTGCCTGCTGATGCTGCTGCTTCTCCTCTTTCCCCTCTCCCCCCTTTCTGCTTGCTTGCCCTTTTCCTTGTGCCACGGGGCGACTTCTCTGCGCTGGGACAAATGCTCGTGTGTGTGTGGGTGTGTGTGTTTGTGTGTGTGTGTGTGTGCGTGTCTGTGTGTGTGTGTGCGTGTGCGTGTGTGTGTGCCCGTGCGCGTGCGTGTGCGTGTGCGTGTGCGTGTGCGTGTGCGTGTGCTTGTGCGTGTGCGTGTGTGCGTGTGCGTGTGCGTGTGCGTGTGCGCGTGCGCGTGCGCGTGCGCGTGCGCGTGCGCGTGCGCGTGCGCGTGCGCGTGCGCGCGTGCGCGTGCGCGTGCGCGTGCGCGTGCGCGTGCGCGTGCGCGTGCGCGTGCGCGTGCGCGTGTGTGTGTGTGTGTGTGTGTGCGTGTGTGCGTGTGTGCGTGTGTGTGTCTGTGTGTCTGTGTGTGTCTGTGTGTGTGTGTGCGCGTGCGCGTGCGTGTGTGTGTGTGTCTGTGTGTCTGTGTGTGTGTCTGTGTGTGTGCGCGTGCGCGTGCGCGTGCGCGTGCGCGTGTGTGGGTGTGGGTGTGGGTGTGGGTGTGGGTGTGGGTGTGGGTGTGGGTGTGGGTGTGCGTGCGTGCGTGTGTGCGTGCGTGCGTGCGTGCGTGCGTGCGTGTGTCTGTGTGACTGTGTGACTGTGTGTCTGTGTGTGCGTGTGTGTGCGTGTGTGTGTGTGTGTGTGTGTGTGTGTGTCCGATGGCTCCCAAGCCGCAAGATTGATGACTTAGGGAACCCCTCCTGCGGGATGGGACACCTTCGGCCCCGTGGCGGCCAGCCTCCCACACTTCACCTCTACCATCGCCCCATCTGGCATCGTGGGTGTTGGCGCTGCTGCCACTGCCTCGCCGCAGCTCGCGCCCAGGGAAAGCCGAGCCTGTGACCACACCGAGGCCAGCCGCCAGCCGCGACGACACCAGGGCCGGGCCGGCCGCGGACGCAGGGAAGCGGGGATGGGGCTGAGAGCGGATCGCTGCCCCTGCGGCTGCTGGGAGCGGGGAGGGGGGGGGTCCCCCGCGGGCGAGGTCATGTGCTGAGGCGGAGGCGCCCTCGCGCCTCGCACGCCCGCGACTCGACCCCTGCGCCCCCGCGGCCTCTGCCGCGGCCGCGGAGGCGGAGGACTCGAAGCTCTGGCGGAGCGAGGCCCACCTCGCGTGAGGTCCGCCGCCGCATTCGGCTCGAGGCCGAAGGTCGGCCTGGCCTGACCCCGATGCCCCCCCTGCTGACCCCGACGCCATCTTCGATGCCTTGGCCCGCTTTTCACGCTTCCGGGACCCCGGAGCAGCCGGCTCCGAGCCGGGGTGGTAGCTGCGTTGCTGAGGCTCTCGGAATGATCCCGATGGGCCATCTCCCGTGGCCGCGAAGCTGCGCGTGTCGCAGGTGCGGCTTCGTGGCGTGAGGCGCTGGGAAACTCTCAAACCATCGAGAGCTACCAGCCAAAGCTTCTGGACCGCACACGCACCAGGCGTGTTGAGCGGGGTCGTGCTTGCGAAAGTCCGAAGGTGCCACGTTAAGCCACTGCCACCCCCCCATCTCGACTACTCGCATCCCAGCTTCTCTGCTCTGACGATGCCGCGTAGTGCCGTGGTTCAGCGTGATTCTCTGTGCGGCTGCTATCGGCCTTGATGCGGCAAGTCCTGGGCCTAGTGTCGGGCGCTGGCCATGAAGGATGTCGCCCTGGGTCGTAACCTCCTCGGTTCCGTCACCAGAATGCGGCCGGCGGTATCATCGAGGACCCGCACACACCTCCCTCTCAACAACCTTGCCCTCATTTTCTCTCTCAAGAGAAACCCCGGACCTGTCCCGATGTGCCGTGACCAGGATGTCGAGGCGGATCCAATAGTGCCGAGAAGTGACCTTTAGGAAAACAGCTGATCTGAACAACAGCCAGTATCGCGCGACGCACCCAACCCATCAACATCAAGTGACAAGAGTGCATGGACAGCGAGTGCGCTTGTGCGAGCTACATGAGATGGGCGCACGTTGCAGGACCCGCAGGAACGCATGAGGAAGTACGATGCCAGACGCCCCAGGAGCGAAGAGAATGGGAGCGGGAAACAGGGGCAAGAGAAGGACAGAGAGGGGGGTGGAGCCAGCGCGGCAGCAGCACGGAGACGTTGGAAGGAGGATGAGGAGGAGGACGACGACGCAAGAGGCGGCATAAGAAAGGAGGGTGACGCCGCTTTGTTCCACTGGCACGCTGGACAAGCAGCGCTGCCCGCGCCATCTCGCTCTGGCGCTCCAGCGGAGCAGTCTTTAAGCACTCGCGCGAGAAGCGGGCAAGGGCGAGCTCGCCCGCCAGCTTCTCCCATTCTTGCCCAAGGCGCTAAACGCCCGCAGGCGCGCCGCCAGGTCTGCGGGCGGCCCGCCCAACAGCCTTCGAATGTGGCGGCAGTTTCGCGCTTCGCAGCCCCCCGAGGGATGGCGAGATCCAGTCTGAGTCCGAAAGTGATGTCTCTTCGTGGGGCCCCTCAGCAGCCCTCAGAAATGGCGACCAATGCGCAGGTCATAGCCCCCCAAAGGTGGCGAAATCTAGTCTGAATCCGCGTATGACGTCGCTCCGCCGGACCCCCCAGAAGCCATCAATAGGGACGTCAATGTTGCATTCGCAGCCCCAAAAAGACGGCGAGGTCTAATATGAGTCCGCGTAAGACGCCACTCCGCTACACCCCCAAGCCGCCCCCGAACGTGGCTCCAGATTCGCACTTCGCAGCCTCTCAAGGGTGGCGAGGTCGAATATGAGTCCGCGTAATTAAGACCTCACTTCGCTGGATCCCCCCACCCCACCCAGCAACCCTCGAACGTAACGACGGTTTCGCCATTCGCAGCCCACCAAGGATGGCAAGGTCTACTCAGACTCCGCGTGAGACGTCACTCCGCTGGGCCCCCAGCAGCCCTCGAAAGTGGTGACGGTTTCGCAGTTCGCAGTTCTCCAGGGATGGCGACGTACGGAGCAAGCCGGCAAGCAAGCACACAGGCAAGCAGAAGAAGTGAGGAGGCAAGAGAGGAGGAAGGAGGGGGGAGGAGGGCGGGGCCGCGACCAACATGCTCGTCGATTCAGACCGAAAGCCCATCGCATGAAGGTTTGGAAAACTGCAATAATAAACCTCCCCCTCAGCAACCTGCCCCCCTTCAGACTCCCACTCCTGCAGGGGAACGCACGGTCACCTGCCGGGTTCACAGCCGCTGCAGGCGTAGCCTCCAGCTGCCTGCTCGGGGGCGTCTTTCCGGCGCGAGGTGGCCCTCTAGCCTCCAAGAGTTGCCTCCGTGGGGCACAGGACATTTGGAAGCGTGGTCTCCAACTCTTCCTGGTTCTCGGGGTGGCCCCGAGAAGGTCCGAAAGGGCGTTCACGAGGGCCAAAGAAAAGCCAAGAAGGCCCCAGAAGGGTCCGACAAGCTCACCCACAATACATATCTCTATAATGCCCAGAGTGTAAGAGAGAAACAGAGAGAGAGAGAGAGAAAAAGAAACAAAAAACAAGACAAGAAAGAAAACAGAGAGAGGGAGAGAGAGCGCGAACGGATCCCAACATGCCGCCAGAGTCTCCAAGCGACATCCAAGAGGCCTCGGACAGGATCCTAATGGACCCTCATTTGACGCGCATCCACTTCCATTGTGGCGAACACTCGATCAACTGGTGGGGATATGTGTAGCGTCAAGATGTCATCATCCACCTCCAGCTGGAACTTCTCCTCCTCCTGGGACGAATCTTCAAAACGTCTCTCGGCAACCGAGCCTGGATCTCAATGGGAGAATCGGCCAGGGGCTAGCCTTGAATAATTCCGTCCTTCCCTAATTAGCGCTCCGACTAGCCATCTCCTTCCTTCATGTGGCATGTCATTGCAAACTAGAAACAATATAGGCGGCCATGCCGCTACTAAACTATCCAAACTCGGCCTTACAAGGAGCACGATACCTTCATGCCGAAGGCTCCTGCAGAAGTTGCGAAGGCCGCGCTCAATCACTAACATGTTGAGAACGTATTGACTGGTCAGACACATGCCCATCACTGCAATGCCGTTGTTGACCACGTTGAGATGAGTCAGACGCATGCCCATCGCTCCGCACCTGTGGCAACACGCAAACAGGAGCACGACAATCAGCAACCACAGAAACATAAATCCCTTCCCCTCGTCCACTGACCACATTAAACACTGTGTTAAGACTCCACATAATACATCACTTCAAGTGCCTGTTCATCCTCCCCGCTCCTCCTCGTGTCATCTTTTTTCCTACGCCCGCCATATTCTCTATCCTGCGCGTTCTCCCTCTTTCTCATCCTCCTCCCGCGCACCTAGCTTGTCATCCTTCCCTCTCCGTCCTGCTTGTCCTCGTCCGATCGCTTACCTCCGGAACTCCAAAACCCCCTGGAAACCTCCCATGAGGCAGGAAGGATGAAGGAGGTGCAAGGCGTTTCTGGGAGCGCTTGGATTTTTCTGAAGGTGTCCAAGAATTTGGGGACCTGGGGATCGGCACGTAGAAGAGGACAACAGCGGAGAGAAGGGCATGGTCAGGGAGGGATGGTTTACGCTTATTGGGCATCTGAAGCGGTCAGGGGGGTCCTGGGATTTTTTTGGAGTGGCTCTGAAGGAGCATGGGGCATGGGAAGGGGACTGCGGAGGAGAGAGTAGATGGGGTGGGAGGGAAGGGGGGATCTTTCAGGGTTTACGGGGTCCTGGAAGGCTTCATGGGACCCTGGGCTTTCCTTGAGGGTTTTGGGGGGTATCCATAACGTTTCCGCTGGGAAGGTTCTACGGCGCCCCAAAGGCCTTCTAGACAAACAAATTCCGTCGCGAGGAACTCAAGGAAGTGTCCACGACACGCGCAGGTCAAGGAGCCTGGGGGGAAGGACGACGGAGAGGAGAGGAGGTGGGCACAGTGAGGGGAGAGAAGTAAAACGCGAGATGGCGGGCGCGGCCGCGCGACCTCTGGCGACCTGGACCCCGCGGAGCCGGCGGTGCCGTTGGCGGCGCTGTTGGTTCGGCTGTTGCTGCCACTGTGCGTGGAGCCCCGGTCCGCGTTCCCGGAGCTCCCGGAGGCCGTCGTCTCGCCGGGGCCGCCGGCCTGGCAGCCCGCGTCCCCGGCGGCCAGCGCTTGGGGCAGGTCGCCGACCTGACGACGACGACGACGACGACGACGACGACGACGACGACGACGACGACGACGACGACGACGACGACGACGACGACGACGACGACGACGGTAGTGAGGAGAGTGACGGCGGCACGACGACGACAACAACGACGATGACGACGGCGACGACAACCTGCTCGTCATCGCCCCATCCTCCCTCTTCTACTCCCTCGCGTCCTCCGTCTGGTTCCCCTCCCCTCCCCTCCCCCAGCCTTCCTCCGCCGCCCAAAATATCCTCCCTCTCACTCCTCCTTGTCCTCCTGCTCGTGCTCCTGCTGCTTTTCCTCCTCCTCCTCCTTCCCCTCCTCCTCCCCTTCGCCCTCCACTTTTCCTCACCGTTTATGATCCCTCATTCCTCCTCCCTCTTTCATCCAATGTGTCCCCATTGTCAGGCAATTCGCCGACCTGTCGGAGAGTTCGGGGAGCAATAAAACTCCTCCTCCTCCTCGTCCGACGACGGCTACCACGACTACACCGAGAAACTGGATACATATATATATATAACAATACGCACGTACTTACATAATCATACACTTGTATACATGTACATGTATACGTACATGCATACATACATGCATGAATACATACATACACAAATACATACATAGATACGTCGGTGTGTGCTTGAGTGTGCCATATCCCGCCGCTACAAAGGAGTTCGGTTAATGATTGGTGCGTCTGCGCGCCCCAATGATCAACGGATGCACGGACATAAGCGACACGTGGACAACGATGTCGCGACGATCGACGGGTGTGCATGTCAACGAATATGTACATATACACGTGCATGAAAAACAAATGGGGCGTTACACGCAATGACCGTGTGACGCACACATATAGATGTATACACAGATGTGGCAGCCAACGTGACCCCACAGAGCATGTTCGAACATGTGATGTCGTGCGCGCTGCGTGGTGCGCTTTGTGCGGCGCAACTCGCTCAACCGAATTTGAAATGTACAAGTCCACTGTTCGCGCACTCGTCCCACCCACCCGCCAGCAGTTTGTTTTGCAACTCCCCTGCTACGGCGATTGCGGTGACTGCCTGGCGCTGGCTGGCGCATCCCTGCGGCCGCGCAAGCGCGCGCACGCTCGCGCGCAGGGCGGCCATTTACTGTGGCGCGACCGACGCGGCCGCGGTACCGTTGCTGGGCAGTCCCCGGCGCGAATCGCAAGCCGCCCTGGCGCCAGGGCGCGTCACTGCGAGTCGGCAGCTCGGGCGGGCGCGGTATCATGGCGACGTCGACAACGGCAAACACGATGATGATAGTAGCGATGCTGGTGACGACGACGATGATGACGACAGGAAGGCCAATGACAACTCAGATATTGATCACGCCGATGACGATGATGATGTCCACGTGTCGGCGATGAAGGTTTCCCAAATAATTCGGCATGCGCGCGCGGCCGACTCTCTCTTTCTCTCTCTCTCTCTCTCTGTCTCTCTTTCTGTCTCCCTTCTGAGCCTCGGTGCCTACCGGGAGGGGGGGGGCCCTTTACGGGCGCCGCCATTGCCGCTGGGTTGCGAGGCTTCAGAGCGGCCGAGTCTCACCTTCGCGGCGTCGCCCCGCAGCTGATTGTTGCGGGATGGGGCCGAGCTTTGCCACCCGAGACCTGCAGGGGAAGGATGGGGCGTGAAAGACCGCCCCTCCACATCGTCGGCAGGAAGGCTCTTTGCGGCGCGCCCCCGCCACGGGCAGCAACGCTGAGCTGCAGCGGCCGGGGGGCGCGCGCCGACGTAGCCCGCGCCGGCGCGGAGTCCCGCGACCGCTGCAGGAACGCGAAATGAACATGAAAAAAAGTGGCCCGCAAAATACGATTGGACAAAGCTCGTGCCCCCCCGGCCCGAGCACACGCGCAACGGCGTCCGAATGATTTCCACACGCGCGCGCGTGAGACGCCTTTGGTCGCATGTGATTAGAAAATGATGTCGCAGCTTCTCAACAATTCGCAAAAAAACGCGCAGGCTCTGTCGCTTGGGACAAACAGGTTGCAACACACGGTTTTTTGCTCATATGGTTTCGGGATAAACAATTTTGGCATGTGTAGGGGATCTACATGTTTTGATACATTCCAGCATGCGCGCGCGACGACGCGCGCGTGCGCACTCCATCCGGCTCGTTCGAAAAGGATTCACGCGAACTGATGCCTTGTGATGAACGATTGTGCGCGCATGCTGCTGATTTGCAGAAGGTGGCCGAGAGGGGGCTCGAGCCTGGCTTGTCTGGGATGGCACGTGTGATCTTCAAAACGAAAGCTGGGACACAATCGTATGTAAATTGACCATCCGCAGGGTCCGCCGATAATCCCGGCCTCGGGGAATGGGTAGAACCAAAGTTCTGCCTTCACAAAACAGCGTACGTGGTGCAAAATATGTGGTGCAAGCTACGTAGAGCAATTCACTTTGACTGCCTTGAAGCTGTCTTCTCCACTGCTCGTGCAAACACCCCACCCTCCCGCCCGCAACTTGGTCACAAGACCTCTTAAGACCGTGATGGTAAGTACCACATGGCACTTGGCAACGACACCGACGCTGACGACGACAGCGACAACGACAACGACGACGACGGCGCCGACAACGACGACGACGACGACGACGACGACACCGACGACGACGACGCCGACGCCGACGCCGACGACGATGACAACGCCGACGACGACGACGACGACGATACCGACACCGACGACGACGACGACGCAGACGACGACGACGCAGACGACGACGACGAAGACGACGACGACGTCGCCAGCGAAAACGACGACGACGAGGGAGGAGGGAGGACGACGACGGCGACAACGACGGCAACGACGAGGGAGGAAGCAGGCCGGCGACGATGCGAACGACGAAGGAGGGGGGACGGCGACAACGACGACGACAACGACGAGGGAACACAGGAGACGACGACGACGACCACGACGACGAGGGCGACGAAATAGGAGGGAAGAAACCGAGACGCCGACGACGGACGACGACGACGAGGGAGGAAGGACGACCGCAGCGACAACGACGACGGAAACGACGACGACGCCAAAAAAGACGACGACGACGAGGAAACACAGCGGACGACGACGGCGACGACGACGACGAGGGAGGACGGAAAACGGCGACGACGACGACGACACAAAAACGCCCGCGCACGTTTTCGTTGAAAATCCGTGTTGCGAAACCCTGTGTTTTGTTGTATGTCGTTTGGGAACTTAGTGTTGAATTTTTTTTTTTCGAAGAGTTTCGGCATGCGCGCGCGACGACGCGCGCGCGCACGTCGTCCCATTTGTACCAGAGGATTCTCGAGAAAGGCACCCGCGCGAAGGTGTCCGAAAGAATCCGACATGCGCGCGCGAAGTCCGTTTGGTTGTATTTTTGGAAGCATTGAAGAACCCATGGTTTCCTCAAGATTTCGCAGGAGCGCGCGTGTAAGTTTTTTTAGAAAATCCGTGTTGCGAAACCTGGTGTTTTTGTATGTTGTTTGGCAACTCGCTTTTGAAATCCTTCCGAAACCATGCAGTGCTGACGGGTTCAGCATGCGCGCGCGACGACGCGCGCGTGTCCACTTCGTCCCGTCTGTTGCAAGGGATTCTGGAACATTTATGATGTTTGATAAGCGGGTGCGCGCGCATAGCATTTTTTGCCAAGGATGGCGGGGGGGTGGTACAGGCCTGGCTGGGACAGTATGAATGCATGCTTACGATGGAAACAAATGCAGAATGCATATGAAATCAAATTACCCCAGGGGGACCGTTAACTCCGGGGGGAGGCGGGAAGAGTCGATTCTTCTTTTGGTACGAAGAAACTATGAAGAAACTACGTGGCGCTACTTATGTGATGCAACATGCGTGGTGTAATTCAACTGTGGACCTCGCATTGTCAATTCCATTGCTCGCGCAATCATCCCACCCGCCCACGCCCGCAACTTGTTCGGGCGCGGTATCATGGCGACGTCAAAAACGGCAAACACGATGATGATGGTAGCGATGCTGGCGACGATGGTGACAGAAGCGACGGCGCAGCCGTTGACGACGCCGATGCTGATCACGCCGACGACGATGATGGTGTCCACGTGTCGGCGATGACGGTTTTGGAAACATGTCGACATGCGCGCGCAAGCGACGCGCGCGAGTAGCCCGCGCAGTGTTATTTGACAGAGAACGGGATCGTGCCCCCCCCCCCATGCAAGCGCGCAGCGGCGTCCTCGCGTCGGTGATGAAGGTATGGAAGTTCGACATGCGCGCGCGGTCGACGCGCGAGAGTGGCCCGCATGGGGCTACTTGACGCGGGCCGTCCCCCAGCACGCGCGCAAGGGCTTTCGAATAATGCCGTCATGCGGCGCGAAAGGCCCGCCTGGCCGAAGTAAGCGAAAACGGTGGAGAGAGCTGATGCCTGGTTTTTTGCAGCTACGCAGGAGCGCGAACGCATTTTTTAAACTGATGTTGCAAAGCCATGCCTGTTTCTGTTGCATATGTGTTCGGGGCGCTCGATTTCGATTCCCTCGAGAGACCTACGGTTTTTGACAGGGTCCGGCACCTGCGGGGCCCGGCTTTGCAAGAGTCCGGCGCGCGCGCGCACTTCGCCCCATCGGTGGCAAGGAATTATTGCGACAACGCGCGCGGAAAGGCATTCGAGCGAGCCCGACATGCTTTGCGCGAAAAGCCAAGGAAGTCGCATTGTATGAACATGTTGCAAGCATGTGCATTTATAATATTGATTCGCACATTGTTCCATTAAACGAAATCGCGGGAGACGGGGCGGACTGCGATCATCTACATGGCCCGCCTCGCAAAGCGCGCGCAATGATGATGCGCGACGCAAGACTGCTTCGCAAACGCGGCCAAAACTCCGGCGACGAACACGGGCGCCAAGGGGCTCATGCCTCGCCACGATTAGATTGCCGCGTGCTGCGCGCGCGGGCAGGAAGGGGCAAATCCTGCCCCACCCTCGACCAAAAGGCGCGCTCGCGAGGGGCAACCCGTGGCAGCGATAG